CTGGTTTTGCTTCTCTAGAGAACCCAGCTTAGACAGAATTTGGTACTGAGAGTGAGATGCTGCTCTAGCAGATACCTAAAATGTGGAAGCGGTTTTGAAACTGAATGGATAGATGCTGGAAGAGTTTTCAGGTGCCTAAGAGCAAAAGCCTAAGAATTGACAGAATATCAATTGAGATGTTTCAACAAACAGACGCAGCGCTAGAAGTGACTACTTGTCTATGCCAAGAAATTTGGGAGACACCTGCCTGGCCAACCGACTAGAAGAGATTCATATTTATGCCTATTTGCAAGAAAGGTGATCCAACAGAATGTGGAAATTACCAAACAATATCAATAATATCACACACAAGTAAAATTTTGCTGAAGATCATTCAACAGTGGCTGCAGCAGTATATCAACGTGGAATTCCCAGAAATTTAAGCTGGATTAAGAAGAGGACATGGAACCAGGGATATCATTGCTGATGCCAGATGGATCCTGGCTGAAATCAGAGAACAGAAGAAAGATGTTTACCTGTGTTTTATTGACTATGCAAAGGCATTTGACTGTGTGGATCATAACAAATTATGGGTAACATTGTGAAGAATGGGAATTCCAGAACACTTAATTGTACTCATGAGGAACCTGTACATAGATCAAGAGGCAGTCGTTCAAACAGAACAAGGGAATACTGCATGGTTTAAAGTCAGGAAAGGTGTGCGTCAGGGCGGTATCATTTCACCATACTCATTCAATCTGTATGCTGAGCAAATACTCCAAAAAGACGGACTATCTGAAGAAGAACAGGGCATCAGGATTGGAGGAAGACTCACAGCAACCTACATTATGCAGATGACACAACTTTGCTTGCTGAAGGTGAAGAGGACTTGAAGCGCTTACTGATGAAGATCAAAGACCACAGCCTTCAGTATGGATTATACCTCAACATAGAGAAAACAAAAATCCTCACAACTGGACCAATAAGCAACATCATGATAAATGGAGAAAAGATTGACATTGTCAAGGATTTCATTTTACTTGGATCCACAATCAACACCCATGGAAGCAACAGTCAAGAAATCAAAAGACACATTGCATTGGGAAAATCTGTTGCAAAAGACCTCTTTAAAGTGTTGAAAAGCAGAGATGTCACCTTAAAGACTAAGGTGCGCCTGACCCAAGCCATGGTGTTTTCAATTGCTTCATATGTATGGGAAAGCTGGACAATGAATAAGGAAGACCAAAGAAGAATTGACGCCTTTCAATTGTGGTGTTGGCAAAGAATATTAAATATGCCATGGACTGCCAAAAGAACAAACAAATCTGTCTGGAAGAAGTACAGTCAGAATGTTCCTTAGAAGCAAGGATGGCCAGACTACATCTCACATACTTTGAACATGTTATTAAGAGAGATCAGTCCCTGAAGGACATCACGCTCAGTAAAGTAGAGGGTCAGTGAAGAAAAGGAAGACCCTCAGCAAGATGGATTGACACAGTGGCTGCAACAATGGGCTCAAGCATAACTATGATTGTGAGTGTGGCACAGGACTGAGCAGTATTTTGTTTTGTTGTACATAGAGTTGCTACCAGTCAGAACTGACTTGACAGCACCTAACAACAACAAATTGCCTTGAAGAGATTGTTGGTGGAATTACGGACGTCAAAGACAGTTCTGGTGACGACTCAGAAGGAAGTGAGGAGAGCTGTTACACTGGAGATGGCGCAGATGCGCAGACAGTGAGAAGCAGCAACAGAAAAACAGTGGCAGCAGAACCAGGAGACCCACAGAGCAAGAGAGCTGAGTGCCTTCTGGCCGAAGTTTACTGGTGGAATGGGGTGCCTCAAGGCACTTACTGGTGGAGCTAAAGAGCTTTGGAACATTTGCCCCAGCAGGGCAAATGGGGGAGGTGAGGCCCAAGGGGCCGAGAGGCCAAGAAATCAGGAAGCAGAAGAGGCAAGGAACACAGGAAACAGAGCTGCTCCAGTCTCAAAGGGTAGGGCCACAACCTCTGGGGTCTCAAAGGGTGGAGTCGCCACTCAGATGGACTAGGAGAATGGGGACCTCCTACCACAAAAAAAGTAGTACCAGGAGCAGAGCATGTCCTTTGGACCTGGGGTCCCTGCACTGAGAAACTCCTAGACCAGGGGAAGATTGATGACAAGGACCTTCCTCCAGATCCAACAGAGAGAAAAAGCCTTCCCCTGGAGCCAGCACTCTGAATTCAGACTTCTAGCTTATTAGATTGTAAGAGAATAAACTTCTGTGTGTTGAAGTCCTCTACTTGTGGTATTTCTGTTATAGCAGCACTAGTAACTAAAACAGATGCCAACCACATTTGCCATGACTTTATACAGCACAGTGGATAAGAACATAGGTTGTGGATTCAGAGTGTCTGGGTTTGAAACCTATCTCCACCCCTTATTTATTTATTCATTTTTAACATTTTATTGTGCTTTAGGTGAAAGTTTACACAGCAAATTAGTTTTCCATTCAATCATTCATACACAAATTGTTCTGTGATATAGAGATCCTAAAATTATATGAGGTCTTGACCAGAGTAAGAGAAGCTAAAGCAGGGTTCAGGCCTAGAATCCATTTTATGTGAGAATTTGTTTAAGGTTCTGGTTAATGCTAGAATTCATTTTCTGTGAGCTTTTGTTAAAAGTTATAGTGAGTCATTATGAAAACTTCCAGGAAGAAATGGGAGTACAAGCTGAAACTCATCGTTTCATTGTTTCTCCTACCTATGGGAGGAATGTTCTATGAAGGGTACTTTATCTTAACCAACAAAGAGGCTATGCTACAGGGAAGTGATGCTCTCATAAAGTAACATACTGGAATTTCCTGGTGACTGACGTGGGAACCCATTTCAAGTCACTAAGCCAAGAGCAAATGTTCCAGGTCATTACCAAAGAAACCTCCCAATAGTAACTGAATGGTATCTAGCCAACAAAGACTCTTTAAACCAATCATGTGTTCCCATATGTTATGTTTCCACCTTTGACAATGACGTATTAATGAATAACCAATCAGAATTTTTTTAACTTCACTTTCTTCTGTAACAGTATATTAGAGACTCCCTGAATGTGACTCAGTGGATTCTGCTGGTCTCTTGTGCCCAGTGCATGCCAGCAGGTGCTTCATTCCAATGACTGTCTTTGTCTTGGCTTAAAAAAAAATCTCTTTTGATTAAGTTTGAGTCTAGGGTCTTTTTCCCCTGTAACAGCTGCAGTCTCTGCAATGTGTCAGCACTCTCCCCATTTCCACCCTGGGCTCCCTGTTTCCATTAACCCGGTTTTCCTGCACCTCCCTGTCTTCTCATCTTTGCTTTTGGGCAAATGTTGTCTTTTTGGTCTTGTGTAGTTGATTGTTCTGTGGAGAACATTCCTCATGGGTGCTATTGTTTATTTTATAAGCCTGTCTATTTTGGCTGAAAGGTGGCCTCTGGGAGTGGCTTCAGTTCCAAGTTTGAAGTCCACACCTTATTAACTGTATAACTTTGAAATGTTTACTTAATCCATTTTTGCCTCAGTTTCTGCAACTGTGAAATGGGAATGATAGTAAAATCTCCTTTACAAAATCATTGTGAGCATTAATTGATACAGAAAAAGAGCTTAATGGCACACTGCAATTACTTAATAAATGCTAGCTATTAATATCATTTTAAAAGCATAATAGAAGTTGATTGTAGCCTTCAGGTTTTCCCAGTGAGCAGAAAAACCACAACTGTAATAATGCTCACAATTTTTAATATGTGGGGACAGAACTGTGTTAGTATTTAGGGGGCAGAATTAAAGAGGCATAGGAAGTACTTTTGAAATGGCTACTATTGGAGGAAGTGAATTCTCAGTCACTGGAAGTATTCAAAGCGGACAACTATTTGGTAGGGGTATTGGTATTAAGGGTGTGGGGAAAAGTAAGAGACTAAAACATGGAAGCTGAAAAAGAATTAAGTGTCCTTTTGGAGTTCTTTAAACCCAAGAATCCCAGGATTCTGTATGTTAGCTTGGGTCTCTTATGTGGAAGACTACATTGATTAATTTTTTTAGTATAATGGAAAAGTAACTCCCCTTCCCCCATCCCCTTGCCAAATCTTTGAATATAGCAATATAGATGTGGTATAAAATCTTTACTAAGAAAAATTATTCTTTTATGTGAAGCAATTTCAGTAGAGGTATGTTTCCCAACATGTTTCTTTGTACTTATTTGTATACATTATATATATAATACATATTATATATGTATACACACACACATATACTAGTTACCTAGTGCTGCTAAACAGAAATACCACGAGCAGATGGCTTTAACAAGCAGAAATTTATTCTCTCACAGTTTGGGAGGCTAGGAATCTGAATTCAGGGTGCCAGCTCCAGGGGAAGGCTTCTTTCTCTGTAGGTTCTGGGGGAAGATCCTTGTTATCAAACTTCCCCCGGTCTAGGAGATTCTTAGCACAGGGAACCTGGGTTCAAAGGATGCACTCTGCTCCTGGCATTTCTTTCTTAATGGCATGAGGCACCTCTCCTCTCTGCTTGATTCTCTCTTTTATATCTCAGAAGAGATTGACTCAAAATACAACCTAATCCTGTGAGTCCTGTCTCATTAACATAACATTGCCTCTAATCCTGCCGCACTAACATCATAGAGGTTAGGATTTACAACACAGGATAATCACATCAGATCACAAAATGGTGAACAACCACACAATACTGGGAATCATGGCCTAGCCAAGTTAACACACATTTTTGGGAGACACAATTCAATTCATAATTCTTTCTCTCTCTATGTATATATAACCCATTGCCATCGAGTCGATTCTGACTCATAGTGACCCTATAGGACAGAGTAGAACTGCCCCCATAGGATTTCCAAGGTGCAGATAGTGAATTTGAACTGCTGATCTTTTGGTTAGCAGCCAATCTCTTAATAACTGTGCCACCAGGGCTCTATATACATATGTGTGTGTGTGTGTGTGTGTGTATGTGTATATATATACACACACACACATATATATTGATTTGGACAACTCCTATTGGAAAATCTGTCTGAATAGAAAGATAAAGATGATATGAATTAAAATAACATGCACGATGAATTTTCCATTTACTAGGACTATTAAGATGATTTTTTAAATAATAACAAAAACATATAAAGGTAGAACCCTAGAATGGAAAAAAATATATAGACACATATAAAAGAAAATTCCAATATCTGTTACTACATACATGTTAGTAATTGAACAAGTTCCCTCAAGGATTATCAAGAACATTCACCTCAGACCTGGAGCATGTAGGTATAATAAATATATTTCACCTCTTAAAGGTATTGACCTCCTAATAACTAGATGAATTAAATGTGTAGATCTCTGCCTTCTGCAAAAATACAATGTGGTGACAACTATCTATATGGGATCAAATTGACAACAGCAACTCAAACGATTAGATAGGAACCTTAGGGGGCAGTGAGTTTATGTTAATGGGGGAGGAACAACTCAGAAAAGGGAGGGTGAGAAGCTTGCACAACTCAAAGAATGTAATCAATGTCACTGAATTGTACATTTAGAAACTGTTGAATTGGCATATGTTTTGCTGTGTATATTCTCAGTAACAACAACAAAATAAATAAATATATTTTTTAAAAAAAGAAATATACTGTGTCAAAGGACTTGATCTCTGTTGATTTCCCCCAGTGAGTATCATTCAGTTCTACCAAAACCAAAACCAAACCCACTGCCGTCTAGTCAATTCTGACTCATAGCAACCCTATGGGACAGAGTAGAACTGCCCCATAGAGTTTCCAAGGAGCAGCTGGTGGATTCGAACTGCTGACCTTTTGGTTAGCACTAGGGGCAGGATAATTTAGAACAAGTTCTTAGTTTAAATAGCCAGAATTTCAGATTAAATTTTCTACATGAGAGTACTAGAGAGAACTTATATGATATGAGGTTTAAAGATACTGACTGTTGGTCTGAGTTTTCTTCCTATGGTCTTGACTCAATAATTGATACTGCAGAAATGACTCTTGCCAGTATTCTGGAAATTCAGCCACAGAGTGAGGGCACAGGATGACCAGTCATTGTTTCTTATGGACTCACCATGTGAATCAGGCCTTTGCCCTACGTGGTTCTGCCTCCAACATTTTCCTTGCTATTTTCAGTATTAACTACCGAAGGAGAACAAACCCCTCAGCAAAAGCACAGCATGACACAGGAAAGTCAGCAATCAAGGTCGTTTTCTACCCATGAACAGGAAAGCTTAGTGTAAGAAAGACTGTTATTTTCTTTGGGGTGTTAGTTAATGGCAGTTCTCTAGGGGTGTGGGTATGACCTAGGTTATCACCTTGAAATGAAAAATTTATAATGAAATATTTTAAAAGAGGGGTTTCTTATTATACCAAGATCAAGGCAGTATGTAATGCCCTCCAGAAGAACTTAGTTACAGTGAAATTGTTAGAGTGTCAATGCAGTGCACCAAAGGCCTCTCAGAACATTACATTAATTCTTGGCAGATAGCATTGGTTTTGTAATCATGAAAGAGGAACACATCTTTCTCAATCATTTAAGTTGTGGTGTTAAGTTAAAAAAAATTGAGTCACACTAGGAAGTTAACCATTAAAACAAAAACATAACTAACTGGGAACATTGAGTAGACCCTATGATTTAGTTAATTTGTAGGAAGTCTTGTTTTTAACTTTTCAATTAGTTTACAACTCAAATATAGAGTTTCATGTGGTTTAAACCTTCTCTTAGTTGCACACGCCTTTTGATACCTACCCTAATAAAATAGCCAGGTAGACCATAACCCAGGGAGTGATTAAAAGTGATGGAAAAATGAAAAGTCACAGTCCATAGCAAGGATAAGTCAAATATGAAGCGGGAAAATAAATAAATAAATAAAAGAACAAAAGTGTTGCATTTTTACGGAGTGAGGATGTTTTGAAAGTTATTTATAAGAAAGTAACAAAATTATGCCAATAGTTATTAAATAATCTGCTTATCATAAAGTACGAGGTATACATTTTTAATTTTAGAAGATGAAGATGCATGGACAATGGAACAAATAATAGATAACTAGGAATTCCATAAAAATCTTTTATTGTTGTCGTTAGTTGCTGTCTAGTAGATCCCAACTCATGGCAACCCCATGTGTGCAGAGTAGAACTGCTCCATAGGGGTTTCAAGGCTGTGACTTTTTGGAAGCAGATTGCCAGGCCTGTCTTCTTAGTTGCCTCCGGGTGGGTTTGAACTGCCAACTTTTTGGCTAGTAGTCAAGCGCTTAAGTGTTTACACCGCCCAGGGACTCTCTCATAAAAATCTAGAATTCTAAAAATCTGGAAGCATTTTGCAGGAAGGGAAAATGAGGGAGCTAGTGACTAGTGGTTGGTGCTTTTGAATCAATACATTAAACCAACAATGAAACTTACTAACAAAACTATATTCGCAACACACTCTTGAAAAGAAAACAGCATCTAACCAATCAAATAGAATATTGTCCATATCCTCAGAATGGCAGGCTGTATAAACTTGAAGGCAAAATTAGCTTCCACCAAGTTTATTTTACTCATTATACTTTCCCATTAATTGTATTTTCTTACCTGAAGTTTAAAAAAAAAAAAAAAAAAAGCCATGGAGTTGAAAAGGGAATGCTCTCTGGAAGAAAGAGACTATTCTGCCCACCCGAATACCACACCACACCTGTTACCTTGGGTCTGTGGGCTGAGGGCAGTAGTTCCAACTGATGACCTGAGCAGCCACGTAGAACTGCCTTAGCTGCGCTGCTTGGGTCTCTTGGCTCCCCCAGCCTGCCCAGCTGGTGCCCAGGACCACCAGGACCCAGAAGCGTGGGCAGTCTGCGAACATGGCTCCTTCCCTTCTCCTCCCCGCGGCGGCGCCGGGGGACCTGGGCAGGGCTCGCCTGGCGCCTGAGCTGTCTTCTGCTGTGAGCGCCCGGAGGCTGCGGGTGGCAGTGACCGCCGCGCCGCGGCTTCTCCAGGCGCCGCCGCAGCCTCTGGCTGTCCCCCCTCCTGAGGCCGGGCAAGGGGTTGGCTAAGTCCCTGCCCCGGAGGCAGAGCTATTAGCGCAACCAGATAGATGACTCCTTTACTACAGCGGCTGTAGCAGACCCGGCGGTGCCCAAGGATTCTTGAGCTGCGCTCAGAGCTGTGTTCCTCCACTTCCACCAGCGTGCACCACCAGAACAGTAGCCCTCGCCACCCACCACAAAACCTGCCTGGGTCAAGGTTCAAACTTAACAGACCCTCTGCAATACCCAGAGCGAGGAGCCCCAACACACTCAACCAGATCACTCTTCTGACCTCAGGAAAAGGTCCTTTCCTGGGCACAGAAGCCCTGTACGTTCAGGTGGTGAGGAAGCAAGGGGAGAAGCATATAAAGAATGCCTGCTGCTCCCCAGTCACTTCACTACTTCTACCCATCATGACAGGGACTCTGACGGTTCAGTAGTAGAATTCTCCACTTCCATGCGGGAGACCTGGATCTGATTCCTGGCCAGTGCACCTCAGGCACAGCCACCACCCCTCTGTCAGTGGAGGCTTGTGTGTTGCTATGATGCTGAACAGGCGTCAGTGGAGCTTCCAGACTCAGACAAACTAGGAAGAAAGGCCTGGTGCTAAAAATAAACCAACAAAAACCCTATGGATTAATGGCAGCTAACAACAACAAGCTATCATGTAGACACCAATGCACCGATCTGTCTTGATAAGGGCCTGTTGTCCCCTAAAGAGGCAGCAAACCAGAGCACTTAAAGAACTTGGCTAAGAAAAACAGTGGACCCAGATTTCAATCCCACTTACTAGCTGTGTTGTCTTGGACAATTATTCAACCTCTCTGGAGCTCAGTTTTGACATCTGCAAAATAGGGATGATAAAAATAGTTCTTCCTGATAGGGTTGTGTGAGGATGAAAGGAGACTATCAAGTGTATAATTTCTAACGCTTAGAAAGTACACAGCACGTGCATTACTTTGATCATGTTTTCCTGCCTCCAGGGCCTGGTGTGTTCTTGGATGATCTGGCTGTTTTATGCTGGTTTATGGTCTTATTTTGCATTGACAGAGGATCTGAGAAGTTTATGTCTGAAGCATTATTATGACTTGTCTGTGATTCCCTCGATCTACATGCCTCCAACCTTCCGTCTTATGCTTTGTGTTGATACATTCAGTAAATTATAATCTGGACAACTCACATGAGGACAAATCTAATCATGTCAGGATCCTCAATATCTTCCCTCCTCCTCCTACACACAACCTTCTGTCTTAGCTCCTTTGCTGATATTATTCTACCAACTCAGAATGCCTGTTGTCTTCCTCCTTTCCTGTCTACTATTTAAAGTCCAACCAGAGGTCTACTTACCTCTGATTCTGAGCACAAATTGACTTTTCCATTTTCTGAACTCCTACAACACTGTTCAAATTATATACACGTGTTGATTACCCTCTATTATTACATGTGGGTATCTATTGTCTCCGCAACTAGATTATAAACTATTCAACTATAAACTACTATTGCAGGAACAGTGGCTTATACTTTCATATTCATCTACATCAGTGGTTCCCAAAGCTGATAAACCATCAGAATTCCCTGGGAAGCTTTTACAAAATGCAGGAGCCAGGGTTGAGAACCATTGTCCTACAACACCTGCTTAGTCATTGGCACGTAGTAAGTGGTCAGAGATGCTATTGATAGCATAACAGTGAACAATTGTAAAAGCACAGCGTTCCCTAAGATTATTATAAAAACTCTTGCAAAACTATTGTCACTGCTCATATGTGATGAGTTAGATGGCTTTATCTTTTATTTGCATATTTACTTCTATGTTTTTCATAGAAAATGATTATGTGTATAACATAATCATTCATTGCATTTCAGAGACACAAGAACTATATTTTTGGTTCTCTAGTTTTTGCATTAGTGCAAAAACTGTGCTACTAGGCAACTTTCAATGACCTATTTATTAAGCATGTAATCTGAAGAGCAGGTAAAACACGATTGTTCTTTCCTATAGAACATTCAGGTGATGAAAACTTTTTCTGCTTCTTTAATTTTCTCTTTGAAAATCAGATTGCAGGGTTGAACTGTAATGGATACGACTGCATTTAGGTGTTACATTAATGGTAAAGTGATGTATGCAGCACTTATTGAACAAAACATTAAGTAGAACATGACATTTGGGGAAAATCCTTTTAATTATGGATTTGAATAGTGGTCTTTTGGTCCTTTAGAGAAGAGTGAGTTGGGGATAAGGTCGACAGTGAAACCAGTGACATGTGACTCCTGGCTTGGTTCTTGGTCTTCTGCAGTCTCTGGTTGCTGCCCCTTCCCCCGCCCCCTAGAGGCCTTGTAAACAGCAAGCACTGGAGATCCAGAAGATCCTACAGGAATGATTTCAAGTCAGAGACACTGACTGCCTTCCAAAGTAGAGAGTGCCTTCCTCCAATGCAAAAGGAAAGAGGTATTTTTGTGTCTCCACAGCTTGGGCTTCTGGTGAGTCAGATGTTCCAGGTGCTTTGGCTAATGCTGATTATTTCAAGCAACAGCTGGGGCACAGCCCACAGACCACTGCAGAACCATCTGCTCCTGGCTTCTGCTGCTTGTGTTGGAGGCAGAGGAGAGGTGGAGCAGGAAGGGGTGGTGGAGAGTTTGGGATTGTGGTACAATTCTGCTCTGGTTCAGAGCCAATTTAAAGCAAATTCCATCTTTTATTCACAGGTATTTACAGAAAACTGCAGCAAATACACTATAGTTGAAGTCAAGTCTGTCAGGGAGCCAGATTTTTAAAAACAGAATCCTGATAAGGTTTAATGAGAAAGCCATTAGTAGGAAAAGCCTCTGAAAAAGAGAAAAAAAAAAAAAAAAAAAAAAAGAATTATCTTTTCCTTTAAAAAGAAAAGAAGGAAGGAAGAGTAAATATTTAACACCGTTGAATTTTTGTAATAACCTTAGGGGACACTGTGCTTTTAAATTTTTTTTTCCTGATATGCTGTCAATAGCATCTCTGACTGCTTACTACATGCCAATCATTAGGCAGGTGTTGTAGGATAACGGCTTCTTACCTGGCTCCTGAGTCAGAATCTGCATTTTGTAAAAGAAAGAAAGGACGGAAGGAAGAAACCCTTCATCATTTCCACCCTCTGAGTGTAGTCCCTTGGTGGCAAAATGGTTAGCATGCTTGGCTGCTAACTGAAAGACTGGAGTTTTGAGATCATCCAGAGGTGTCTCAGAAGAAAGACGTGGTGATCTACTTCCAAAAAATCAGCTATTGCAAACTCCATGGAGCACAGTTGTACTCTGACACATATGGGGTTGCCGTGAGTTAGAATTGACTCCATGGCAAGTGGTTACTGGAGGATCAATTTAATCTTCTCCAGAACCCATATATTTTTGTCACCCAGGATGCTTTTCTTAGGAAACTAAACTACCCACTGAACTTTTTGGGAGAGGGAGGTGTCAGATTATTTTTGTTTTCCCAGGAGGTTGCATAGAGGGTTGGCTTCATAAACATTTGTTAACATTTACATGACTTCTACTTCTCAGGCAGAAGTGTCACTGTGTCATTACCATCTAGCAGCCACTGATGGGAATATCATACATCCAGAAATAAGTTATGTCTTGTGAAAACATTTCTATTCTGGCAGAAATGAAAATCCTCAGATGAACTCATTTTCTATTGTCAATCTACTGCCATATCTGTACCCTACTGCCAGCAGAATTTCCTTCCTGGCCTGGTAATTTAAGACATGCTTAATACTTAATATAAAAAGAAAAACAGTTGCCATTGACTTGATTCCAACACATGGCAACTTCATGTGTGTCAGAGTAGAACTGTGCCCACAGGATTTTCAATGGCTGATTTTGTTGGAAAGTAGATTGCCAGGCCTTTCTTCCAAGTGCCTCTGAGTGGACTCAAACCTCCAACCTTTTGGTTAGCAGCTGAGTGCATTAACTGTTTGCACCACCCAGAGACTTCTAAAATTTAATACATGATTATATAAAGAAAAGTCAAGCTTTATATTCTTCCTCTTTCCCCTGTTCTTCTCTTTCCTCTACTTTTCTCTTTCCTTCAAAAATATCTTCAGAGGTAATTTACCTTAAGGGCTCGGGTCAAATGCAGCATTTGTAAAAACTCCGTATGTTCCTAGGTGGCTGAAAGAACAGAGACACAAGGATGATCTGCCATGTATTGCTTCATGCCCAACAACACAGAAACTGCATACGAAGCACATAGTACCTCCAGAAACCATGGATTACCACCCACCCCTGGAATTCTGCTTTAAAAAGGAAGGAAAAGTAAGTGCCAAAGTGGTTTTCAAGATTCTACTTGACAGCCCCAGATAATTTGCATTGCATTTTACACCCACTTTAAGTTACCGTTGATCCTTTATGTATTGACTAACTGGTATGTCCCCCCAAAGAGCTGCAGCCTCTCCTTGGTGGGAGGAAATAGTTACAAAGTTCCCAGTCTTGATACTTGATAATCTGGCAGTAGTTTTCAAAGGATGGTCGCACCGCCCCCTAGGGGCGTTTTTTGGTTTACATAATGATCATTGCATTTAGTAGGTAGAGGTGGAGTGCTGGACGTTCTAAAAAGCACACGACACAAAAATTGTCCTACACCCACACAACTTTAACACATCTACTCAATATTCATGTCCGGGAAAAATTTCTAAGCCTGGAACTTAACTGCTTTACATATAAATCTTAAGTATTTTTGTGTCTTTTAAAATGCAATTGCTATATAAATTGAGGGATGATTATAACAGGTTTTACAACTCTTTACCAAAGTTGTTCACCATTTGGAAAATCAGACTGTGTTGGCACCATCTCTGATGCTATCTGAGTCACTGATACAAATCCTCCTCCCTCCCCTGTCTACCTTTGTGGGCTGTTGCTGTCATAGGGATTTTCCCCAGAGGTGCCCGCTTCTGACCATCTGCTAGTGTGGTGCCCAAGCTTTAACATTTTATTCATATGATAAATCACTTTCCCTTTTATTTCTCCTTTATATTGTAATTAGGCATTTATTGATTTTTAAAAAATATGTGTAGTTAGACTATATATTATCTGTATATTTTACTTCAAGATAACAAATGGGACATTGACAAAGATTTATTGTAAAAATACAGTGTTGTGTGTGATCATTCTGACAAATCATAGTGACTTAAAAAGTCAAACTAGAAAAATTTACCGAGTTGTAAAACATTTCCATCTTACCTTTGAGGGTTCAAGGGGCTTTTTCCATCATCTGAAATAGGTGAGAAGACACAACGGTTGGTATAAAAGAAAAAAAAAAAGATGAAGGAGAAAAATCAGTGATAGGAATTATTGGGAAAAGTCAATAGACTGATTATAAGGGGCGTATTGGGAACCATCTCTCCCTGAGGACCTGAGAGATAGGGCCTACTTTAGGCTACATTCAACTTTGACAATATTTATCTCCAGAATCCTCTCACCTTCTTCCTCTCCCTCTCAGTGAAAACTTCTCCTCATACTTCTGGCCCTTGCCTTCAGACTCTTCCCTCCCTCCCTCCCTCTTCCCTCCTACTGTTCCCTCCTTTCTTTTTATTTATTTAAATTTTTTTCTTTTTTTTATTGTTGTAGTTTAAGTGAAAGTTTACATTTCAAGTTAGTCTCTTACAAAAATCTACACATCCACTGTTATGTGACCCTAATTTCTCTCCCTATCCTGTGACAGCACACTCTTCCTTTTCACCCTTGATTTTCCATATCCATTCAACCAGCTCCTAACCCTCTCTGCCTTCTCATCCCACCTACAGCCAGAAGCTGCCCATATAGTCTCACGTATCTACTTGAGCTAAGAAGCACACTCTTCACGAGTATTATTTTACATCCCACAGTCCAGTCTAATCTTTGCCTGAAGAGTTGGCCTCGGAAATTGTTATAGTTCTGGGTTGACAGAGATTCCGGGGGCCATGCTTTCCGGGGTTCCTCCAGTCTCAGTCAAACCATTAAGTCTGGTCTTTTTACTAGAATTTGAGTTCTGCATCCCACCCTTCCCCCACTCCATCAGGGACTCTCTGTTCCAGTTCTTTTGGTCTCAGGCTGATGAAGTCTCTAGTCTATGTGGTCCTTTCTGTCTCTTGGGTTAATACTTTCCTTGTGTCTTTGGTGTTCTTCATTCTCCTTTACTCTAGGTGGATGGGACCGTGATGCATCTTAGATGGCCGCTTGCTAGCTTTTAAGACCCCAGACGCCACTCACCAAAGTAGGATGCAGAACAATTTCTTAATAAACTTTGTTATGCCAGTTGACCTAGATGTCCCCTGAAACCATGGTCCCCAGACCCTCGCCCCTGCTACTCTGTCCCTCAAAGTGTTGGTTGTATTCAGGAAACTTCTTAGCTTTGGTTTAGTCCTGTTGTGTTGACTTCCCCTGTAGTGTGTGCTGTCCTTTCCTTCACCTAAGATAATTCTTGTCTACTCTCTAGTCAGTGAATAATCCTCACCCTCCCTCCCCACCCTCGTAACCATCAAAGAATGTTCTCTTCTGTGTTTAAACCTTTTCCTGAGTTCTTGTAATAGTGGTCTTATACAATATTTGTCCTTCTGTGACTGACTAAATTCACTCAATATAATGCCTTCCAGATACCTCCATGTTATAAGATGTTTCATGGCTTCATCATTGTCTTTATCATTGTGTAGTATTCCATTCTATGAATACACCATAATTTGTTTATCCATTCGTCCTTTGATGGACACCTAGGTTGTTTCCACCTTTTTGCTATTGTGAACAGTGCTGCAATGAACATGGGTGTGCATATATCTATTCGTGTGACAGCTCTTATTTCTCTAGGATAGATTCTAAGGAGCGGGATTGCTGGATCATATGGTACTTCTATTTCTAGCTTTTTAAGGAAGGGGCCAAATCGATTTCCAAAGTGGTTGTACCATTTTACATTCCCACCAACAGAGTATAAGTGTTCCAGTCTCTCCACAACCTCTCCAGCATTTATTATTTTGTGTTTTTTGGATTAATGCTAGCTTTGTTGGGGTGAAATGGTATCTCATTGTAGTTTTGATTTGCATTTCTCTAATGGCTAATGATCATGAGCATTTCTTCATCTTTTTATTATTGTTGTTTAAATCATTGGTTCTTGCAATCCATTTCTTTGGCATTTGAAGGCCCTGTATTGCTGCAACCTGTATCCCAATTCCTCAGCCATTAGCTGAGTAAGCTAATTGCATAAACAAATCCATACGAACACAGCAGTGAATGTTTTTCCTCCAGGGTAACATATGTGACCACGGGTCTCCTGTCTTAATCCAAACATCAGCCTCTTATAATGGAAACTTTAGACATTGCAGAAGGCCTGCCAATTATCCCATGGGAAGATAAAAGAGCTAAACAAATTTAGAAAATATTAGGTTAAGCAAAGATTAACACATTTATAACGGGGCATTACTGCACCTTCAGTGTGAGAATGAGTGCGTGATTTGAATTGGCAGAAAGGGGACGTATGATGCAGCATTTCCTTTTGTTTGATCATAGCATCTGAGAAATCTGAAACTGAAAGGACAGGCTCAGGGAAAATTTCCCATCCTCAATAAACAAACTTACTTATCATTAGGGATACTGCTGCTCTCTTCACTGTTCAGAGAGTTCCCTCAAAATGTCTCAAAACTAAAGAAAGAAGTTGTTGGGTGGGAAGCAGGAATACTATGATTGTTACATGATTGTGGGGATTGAGATCCAAGTCTTAAGAGCTCTTGAGATTTAGTTAAGGACAGAGGGATTGGTTGTATCTTGGGGTTGGTTGTATGACTCTTGGGACTTTTTTGCATGGAGGAATTGGTTGTATCTCATGGTCCATCTCTTTGGTCTTTAAGTAGAGTATTGTCCATTTCTTGTTGACCTAGTCAAGATTCCCTGAGTGGTGCAAATGGTTAAGCCCTTGACTACTAACAAAAAGATTGGTGGTTCAAACCCACCCAGAGGCACCTCAAAAGAAAAACTTGGTGATCTGCTTCTGAAAGGTCACAGCCTTGAAAACGCTATGGAGCAGTTCTACTCTACACACATGGGGTCTCAATGGCAACTAACAACAACAACATTGTGCTAGTCACTCACTCACAGGAGCATAAAGGAAGGAGCACTGGAAAAACTGCCCCAACGCAGTGGCGTCTGTGTGATTGGAGAGAGATAAGAGAACAAGTGGTTCTTCCTCTGAGCAGTTAAAAGTATTGAAACTCCTCAGTCTAATGAACTCTGTTAGGTGCTTTAACATAGCCTCCTCCATTACCTGGATTTGAACATTCCTGACCCTTCTGATGCCGCTAGTTAATTTCTACGAGAAGCCATGCGGAGGAAGAACCCCATTAGCTTACAAGCTTATGGGCAGGTTAAACACCTAGAGCAAACCTTAAGGGATGGCTGTTCCTTTCTTTATCTTAGGCCAAAGCTCTTTTTCTGATGAACAATCTGATAGACACAGTTTCCCTTGTAGAGGGTCTTCATCCATTTCGGTCACTTCTGTACTTAAATCCTTCATCAGCTCCACAGTTTTAAGGAGATTGTGTTTCATTAATAAAAAGGCAGCTCCTTACACTTTCTGCTTCATCTTTAGCCTCTGCCACAAGCCCGTTTGATTCAGATGCACGAATTGCTGAATGTACCATTGTTCCAGCCATTTAACTTTTGTGTCTTTTCACAAGCCATTCTCTCTGCTGGAACTCTATGTCCATTTCCCCCTGGCCAAATCCCTCTCACTCTTCAAAGCTAAACTCAAAAATAGCCTTTTCTGACCTACCAATCTCATTTAGTCACCCCTATTCTGAGTTCCCAAAAGGCAGGGGGTTCAAACTCACCAGCGGCTCCACAGGAAGAAGACCCGGTGATCCGCTCCTGTAAAGATTACAACCTAGGAAACCCCATGGGGTAGTTCTACTCTGTCAGACAGGGTCCTATGAGTCAGAATTGACTCAATGGCACACAACAACAACATTCTGAGTTCCAGTCCCTGGGTAGTACAAACAGTTAACAGGCTTAACTGCTAACCGAAAGGTTGGAGGTTTCAGTCTACCCAGAGGTACCTCAGAAGAAAGGCCTGGCATTCTATTTCCAAAAATCAGTCATTGAAAACCGTGTGGGGTACAGTTCTACTCTGACACACATGAGGTTGCCATTAGTTGGAACTGACTCCACAGCAACTGATTTGGTTTCTGGTTTATTCTGTGTTCCAGAATACCAACGCTATATTTCTAGTCTAGCACACTTTAGTATCAGCATTGATTTAACTTGTCTATCTCCCCTACTATTATATATTCCTTGATATCAGGAACCATAATTTTGGGTTCCAGCACCTAATGAAGCTGATCAGTAAATGAGTTGCACGAAGGAAGGAGTAAGGAAGGAGACAAGACCTTATCCAGTTGGTTTTGGTGATAACCCAAGTCCACCTAGACTGTGGGTTCCCAAATACCAACCTGAAAACCAATCTCACTGGAATTATTTGGGAGGAAAATTCAGATTTCCCAGCCCATTCCCAGATCTGCCTGTACAAAGATCTGAATTTTTATAAAGTTCCTCAGGGGATTCTGATGGACACCCAGTTCTCAAATCTTGGCCTTGTTTTCTCTTAATGCAAAATATTTTCAAACATGAACTACTGAAGTCATATAAAAGAATAAAATAAAGAGAAGCCTCTTTTCTTATTTACCTTTTTGTCTGAAACATTTTCTTAGCAGAGCTAGGAGTGTCCCACCCATCAAGAGACCAGTTGCAGAAGCCACGGCTCCACCAAAATAAGTCAGGGCTTCTTGGATAGTCAATGGCCCTGTGACAAAACAAACACACACCCACACAACATGAAATGTGTATTGTGTAGAAGACCACTCATTCTCCTAGAAGAGCCCCAAGAACTGTAAGATGTGAGATCAAGTAGGTTCATCAATGGCCATCAGTGCAACGAGGCACCAGAGAAGATCTGGAGGTGATAAAACTACTGCAACAGAAGAGGAAGTAGGACTCAGTTTTACCCCTAAAGCTTAAGTATCAAACGTAATTTCCAAAGGAGTCAGGATAAAGACTCGTAAAAAGAATTAAATGTTAGAATACCTGGAAGAGTGAGCAAATAAACTCAACCATGAATAATCTGAGGGGCAATTGATATGAAGTTACGCAACAAAAAGAAGTCATCAGCTGCTAGGAAAAAAAGGGTATGGAATAAATCTTGAAAACATATGGAGCTTAATTAAGGAAAATCTGTGATAAACAAAGGTCTTCTGAGATAATAAATTGGGACTTTGCATGAGATAACCCCTCACTTTAAGACATTCTGAAACTCCAAGGTGGATTAAAAACAGATTATAAGGAAATGAGCAGTGATTGTCTATAGTCACTGAATTTAATTCATTATGAAACATATATTAAGCACAAGGGGAAACTCAGTGATGGAAGTGATGCTGTCAGATATACACAGAGAAGGAACACTGATGTGTTATTTTCCATATCAAGGCGACTTTCTAACCCTTATGAAAAATATACCTTGGCAGGTTGGCATTGTAGTAGACCAGTGGCCATTCTCTAGGCATGCTGTTTTTGCTGAGCCACTAAGTATTTGACCCTCTGGACAATGGAAGGTACAGGCTGATCCATAGCTGAAATTTCCCCGGGGGTTGGAGCAGTTCATCATCATTGGCTTAATAATGTGCAGCTCAGAGCATTTGACAGCTGCAGAGAAAAGGATGCAGGAAAAACAAACACGTAATATGAAGGTACAAAAGATTATGGCTTCATTTATAACCTGGCTATTAGTGCTGATGGATGAGGCAGAATGTAAATGGTCAGAAAGGAAATGAGTCACTTCTGCCATTCATAGCAGCTCTTCCAACATCACACATGCTAAAACATCCACTCAAAGAATGATAGTCAAAGAACCAGGATAAGCACATAGTAGCATCCAACAAATAGTTGCTGATGGGATGATCAATCATGTCTCCAAAAATATTATTTACAAAATTTTTCTTCTCAGAAATATTAATGTTCTAAATATTGTTATTACCAACTATCTGGCACATCTTCACGTGTTTATTAAAGTACTTAAGTGTTTATCATGGCTGGAAAGTTTGAAAGAAGAGAGGCCATAATTCCTTTTCAACTATTTTTAAGAAACTTCAGATTATTTTGCCCAATTATGGGTAGGGAACTAAAGCTTAGGAAGTGAAATTTAAGTCAAATAAATATTGTTGAATAATAGTGACATTTGCAAAGCACCATACTGTGCTCTGTGAGCATACGTAGATGAGTGAGACATAGGTCTCAAAGCTTCATGTATGGGTTGATAGCTCTTCAGGAGGTATCATACATGGTTTATCTTTTTATTTAGGTTACAGTTATGAAAAACATGGGATATGTACACTGTCACTGAATTAATAGAACTGCAATTTGTCTTTCATGATTCAAATGGCTGGTTTCATGCTGTAGCATGCTCATCGTCTTAATACATTTTGGACATTTAAAAATGTTTCCTCTTTTGGGGCTTTGGACACCAGGGCATTAGCTTGTGACCTGAGGAAGAGGAGAGGCAATGTGCCTGCTGCACATGGCTTCCGATTGTGGTTGTTAGGGCAGCAGATTGGTGTGGATTTCATGAAGCAGCTGACGCTTGAAGCTGTTAAGGTTGGCTGGGATTTCAAAAGGCAGACACAATGATTAGTTTGAGTGCCTGCAGGAAGGCAGCATCAGAACTGCCTGCTTTGCGCATTACCTCTGCAGGTTGGAGCTACTGCTGTCCATTGTCCTGAAGTTCTGCATTGGAGAGGGCTGTCTCCCGTGAGTGTGAACCCAGCATTGCATCCAAAGTAGCAAGTGGTATTCAAGCCAAAGTTTCCCAGATTATGTGTACAGGACATTTTTCCCTGCCCAGGAGTGATAAGGGCTGGGCATCGCATCTCTGAAGTAGAAGCTGATGCTATGCCTGTTGTGAGAAAATGTCTCAATTTACAGAGTCCACAATTAAAAGAAAGCATTACAGAGTTAAGATCTTCCATTCCTCTCATGATGAGTCATCTCTAACAATACATCCTTTAGGGAGATACATTTCTCTTTAAGGAAAAATGTTAATCTCAGGTATGGAAAACCAGATGAGGAAAATTATTTAAAAGAGTACTTAGATGATTCTCCTGGTCAGAAAAAGAAACTGGGGTACCAATGTTACCTATATTTTAAAAAGCAGAAGAGTTGGTGCAGAAAAACAAGGAATTCAATAGAAAGCCAAGTATTTTGGGCAAATTGCCTATTTTTCCCTACTCTGTTGGGAGGTGGTCTTGTCCTGTGGCGAAAGTCCAGCATGACATGTGAGGTGAGAATGATGCCACTGGCTCTGTCACTAACCTGCCCTCTGGCAGGAAGACAATGGGTGGCCTCCGTCTACCACAATTCCTCAGTTTAAAAAGTTGGACCAGTGGCTTCACTGCTTGTATTCTTTCCTGGCAATGAAGTAATGGAGGCCATTCAATTGACTCAAAACAACTTTTTGATAAAAAGAGGCAAAAGTATGAAACAATTTCTGCTTAAGAATCAATGTCTTTTACTTCCAAACTAAAAAGTTCCGTCTCTCCTTATAAATATTTTTAGCCTACAGGCTGTGTTCCCTATCCCCAATAGATGACCTATTTCATAAGCAGAAGTAGTGCTTTCACAATAATAATGATGCAGTGTGTACCTGTCACATAGTAAGAACTATATAAGTGTTTGCTATTACTGTAGAAGAAATTTCCAAAAAAAGAGCTGTCCCTGGAGAGGGTATATTGTTTTACCTTCGCAGGTGGGTGGAGGTGCTGTCCATTTTCCAGAAGTTGTGCATTCAACATTCTTGGACCCTTTCAGCTTAAAGCCCATGCTGCAGGAGAAATGGCAGGTGGAGCTGACAGTGAACTGTCCATGAGCGCCAGAGCAATCCATGCTGCCCCATTCTGGGGGAGACAACTGTGGACACCTGATGGCTGGAGCACCAAATCCAGAGTGTCACCATCTTCAAGTTTATTCAGTTCATAATTCACTCATGCATTCAAAACATATTTATTGAGCACCTACTATGTGCCAGGTGTTTTGCTAAGCACTAGGCATACCATAACTTATAAGACAGGTCATTTACTGCAGAAAGGCAGGATGATGGGCTTGCAGAGAGGAGTAAGGTAGAAATCATGGAGATAAGGAAGTCAAGGAGTCAAGTAGTCACAATCAAGAATTTGCATTTTCACCCTCTTTTCTCTGTGCCTTCCCCTTCAGAGACCTCATAGCCTCCCACTGTTCTACTAGCCTGTCTCTGTGGGTGTAGTCCAGGGTTTCACTTCTGCCCCTCTTCCTGCCTGAGACCACTTCCTCTTAGATATCCTGCCATCTCTTCAAATTCAACAGGTCTACAACTTCAATGATCATCTCCGTCTCAAACTATTTCCTCCGCTTGAATTCCAGGCGGTTTTTTTTTTAGACCATAGTTACTCAGCACAGGAAAGCTCAAAACTCTCTGTCTAGATAGATTAGTCCCTGGGAATTGCCTGAACTGGCCTCCTGTGTTCTGGTCTCTGGTTCTTGGCCCACACTGCCCTGAATTTCTTTCCATTTCCATTGACTAGAATCCTACCCACCCTCCAGGATCCAACTCATCACAACTTCTCTGAAGTTTTTCTGCTCTGAACACTTCAACGTTTTGTTGAACCCACATGCTGTCATATCACGTGTCATATCTTCCCTTTCTACTATATGGAGAGCTTCTAAAACCCATGAACCGTAAATCTCTGTGTCTCCCACAATTCACACATACTATAGTATCTTGTGAGATGGTACTCAGTAACCACTTGCCAAGTGGATGAATGATTTTTTAATTTACTAACTACAGCTTACCCCAAAAAGTTGTTTTCATAAATTATTGCAGTTCCATGTTTTTTCTAGAATTATGTCTGTGCTTTATCCATATTAAATTCTATGACATGAAACTATCATTTATCAACAAATATTGGGCTATTGACAAAATGAGTGGCTATTATTTCTTCAAATCCAAGGCTATTAAGAAGACAATAACTTGGTCAGGTAAAGCTCACTTTGCTTAACTTTTTTTTTTTGTTCAATCTCTTGAATTCCTATGTGCTGTCTCACGGGAAGGTGGTATATTTGGCCTGTGTTGGACCATGCATGTTTCAGTGACAGGCTACTCATGGAGGGATTGCGGATACTGATTACATGAATCCATTCAAATAGCCAGAGTAACATACTGAATTTCAGTTCTGTAGTCTCAAACTATTAAGTAATAAACCCATGTCTGGCAGATCAATTCCATTTACCAAACATTTATTAAACTTGTCTATTGGTATAAGTCCTAGACAGGAAGTCATCTGTGAACACTTTCACTAAAACAACTTTTTCAGAATCTCTCAAGATTTAAGTCCAAGAATATGCATAATGTCAGCTGCAGGAGAGCAGGGCTATTGCCTGCCTTTTTCAGCACTGTATCCCACTTCCTAGAACAGTGCCTGGCACGTATTAGGTAATCTACAAATATTTGCTCAATGAGTAAGTGCATGAGTACAATTTAATTTGGATGCATTTTAATAAATTCTTTACTTGGTTTGAAAAATACAAAAGGAGCTACTATTTTTTAAAAAAAAATGACCAGTTGACCTCTAGTATTCAAATGTAGTTGTAAGTTGCCACCGAGTCAGTTCCAGCTCACGAAGACTTCATGTGTGCCGAGTAGAAGTGCAGTCCACAGGGTTTTCAAGGCTGTAAACTTGCAGAAGCAGATCAAAAGGCCTTAGTTCTGAGCTGCCTCTGGGTGGGTTTGAACCACCAATCTTTTGGTTAGTAGTCCAGCGCTTAACCACTTGTGCCACCCAGGGACTCCTTAAATGTATTAACAACATTAAATCCATTTGGGGGACATTAGTGTGGTTTCAGTTTTGTCAGTCTTGCTGTGCCGTGGTTACAGATCCAACTTTTGTACTTATAAAATCTCTGAACCCCCGGGGTAAAAATTAACCTTGTCCAACCAAAGGCCTCTAAATACCTTTAAGGTTTGATTTTGACTCATGTAAGGAAACAGCCTTCACGAAAGCCTAACCTAGATGACAAGCACTCAGCAAATGTGGGCTGAATTAGATTTGTGGAGCTACCAAGGATGCTGTTGGAGTGAAGGCACCTAGTGCAGATGCAGAGGAAGACTTAAACACTGAGGAATGGCCTCATGGGTAACTTTTAAAAGCAATCCTATTCTTGAGCTTACTGTAAAACATCAAATCATCTGTGAACATTTTCACTAAAATAACTTTTTCAGTATCTCCCAGGATTCTAATCCTACCATAAAACTTCAACAAAAACTGAGTAATTACAAGAAGAATTTAAAAAAGACAGATAAGGGTTGCTTTTATTACATGCTTAGTGCTCTATTTTGATTTGCTTCCAAGGCAGTTCTAGCTACATTGTTGTTTAATCATTGCATTTGAATCCACAGATTATTGAGTTCACTAGCAATCTATTATCAACCAATGAAAACATGTAATTGTTTTGATTTATATTATTAGTAGTAAATTCTTCTCTGTTTCTTCTTATTATCTCATTTTACGTGAGTTGGATATAGCTTTCTTAAGAACTTTTTGGGGAGAAGATATGTCATAACTGAAACTGTTCTAACTGTTCCTGAACTCAAGCTTCATACTAAAGATTAGGAACTCCCATGGAGTCAGAGTCATGTTGGAGGGGCAGAGAAAGCAAATAGAGATGTGACCCAGGCAAAAGCTTGGAGGACACTATTTTGCCATACCTTAGAACTTGGGTGAGCAGGGATCAGGGAGAACGGTGGAACTGGGATTGAGACTTGGAACCAGGATTGCCTGCCCTCACTTGACGAGGCTAGCTAGCAGATAGGAGATGGGCCCAGGAGCCACACATGGTCTGCAGAGGGTCAATGACAGACAATGTTAGGGGATTTGGAGAGCAGTAGTCTGAGTCAGGAGAGTGCACCAACAACCAGCGGAGGTGGGAGATGGACCACAGATACAAGCAATGTGGTATGAAGACAACATCATGATAGTCAGTAGAAGACCCTCAGTCACTGCTTTAGGTTCAGGGAAAGGACTTCAGGTCCTGGACGACAAAGGCATGGAAGAAACTAGAACATATAGTCAGGGTCCAAGTCCCAGAGGCTCCGGCAACTGGCATTCCAACTGAAAAGGACTTATCTGTGGAACCACCACAAAAATGAAACCTGGAATTGCACTCTGAAGAGGGGGACCCAGAGCTCCACCTGCTACACTATCCCTGCTGCCTTGGTGGCCCCTGAGCCTTTCTGATGTGCCTGAGGACTCTGCACAACCCTATATGAAAATCAAGGCCTGGAGGCGGTGCTGAATGGCCAGAGATTCATGGTCTCATAGGACAAAAAGACGAACTGGATATATTTGCCTATATTTAGAGCATACATTTGAAGTATGAGGTAGAAACACAGTTCCAGAGCTCAAGATCAGGGTCAGTCAAGGTTGCCAATTCTAAGACCCATAGCTGGCCATGTTCCAAGTTGGACTGGAGGGGGCTGGGCCTGCAAGGTGAGAGGGAAATTCTTCTTATTGTGGAGAAAAGAGGACTGCGAAGGAGTGAGTGGAGCCAGGGGCTGGAGAGATTACAGGTTTAACAATCATGTTGGTTGCATACATGATTTAAAACTTTGGTGAGATTTTTAAAAGGGATTCTTGATTCTTTAGCCTTAAAATGGAATGTGGAAAAATAGAGATCATGATAAATGTTTATAGAGTAAATGAATGAGCATGTGAGAAATAAATGAACAAGCGATGAAGCACAGGACCTAATGCTATCACTCACAAAGATTCTAGATTGCTAAAGTGGTTTCTGGTATACCTTTTTGAAAGTAGATGGTAGCATTTGTGCCCTTTAATCTACATCATTCCTGGCAGGGGAAGGACCTCGCTCCTCTCCTTTTAGAATTAAGAAAAGTGAAGGCCATGTGTGAAGTGGCTCTCTCAAAGAGAAAAGCAATATAGGTCTTTGAATATTAATTCAGTTCTTATTCCACAAAAAGTGATAGCTGTTTTTCATATATTAACAGATTTCTATCAACATATTCTCTCATCTGATCACAAGATACTATCATTTCTCAAGTGCATTTCAGCAGTTATAGCTGCAACCCAGGACAGGGGAAGAGTAAATTTTCAAGTGACTGAGCAGGAATTTTGAAGTGCTCACCTTCTAACCGCAAGGTCAGTGGTTTCAACCTACCAGACACTCCACAGGAGAAAGATGTGGCAGTCTGATTCTGTAAAGATTTGCAGCCTTGGAAATCCTATGTGGAAATTCTACTCTGTTCTAGAGGGTTGCTAGGAGTCAGAATAGATTCTAAGGCAGTGGGTTTGGGTTGATTTTTGAGCTGGGATTTGGAAACACTGCCACAAGGTGGCAGTGTAGCATAGTAGTTAAAAAAAACAGCTCTAGTCAGACTAAGGAGCCCTGGTCGCATGGTGGTTAAGAGCTTGGCTGCTAACCAAAAGGTCAGCAGTTCGAATCCACCAGCCATTCCTTAGAAACCCTGTGGGGCAGTTCTACTCTTCCTATAGGGTCGCTATGAGTCAGAATCAACTTGATGGCAATAGGTTTGGGTTTGGGTTTTTATAGTCAGACTTCCTTTCTTCAGAGGTGCCTGGGTGGACTGAACCTTCAACCTTTTGGCTAGCAGCCAAATGTGTTAACTGTTTGCACCACTCAGAAAATACATTGCTGTCGAGTTGATTCCGACTCATAGCCACCCTATAGGACAGAATAGAATGGCCCCACAGGGTTTCCAAGCTGGTGAATTCGAACTACCGATCTTTTAATTACAGCCAAACGCTTAACCACTGTGCCACCAGGGCTCCTCACCACCCAGAGACCTGAGGATTTTCCCCAGACAAATCAGCCATTGCAAACCCTGTTGAGCACAGTTGTACTCTGACACACATGGAGTTGCCATGAGTCAGAGCCGACTCAAAGATGGTGGTGGATAGTCAGATTAGACCTGGAATCCTGGCTCCACCACTTCCTAGCTATGTGACTTTTGCCAGCTACTTATCCCCTCAATGCCCTGGTTTCTTCATCTTTAAAATGAAGATAACAATAATCATCTTGCAGGTTGTAATGAGGATTGGATGTGATAACGCATATGAAATGTTGTTACTGTGTGCCTTCAAGTCAATTCCTACTCACAGCCAACTTATAAGACAGAGTAGAACTGCCCCATAGGGTTTCCTAGGCTGTAATAATTACTGGAGCAGATAGCCAGGTCTTTTCTCCCATGGAGCAGTTGGTGAGTTTGAACTGCCGACCTTCTGGTTAGCAGCCAAGTGCTTAACCATTGCACAACCAGGGCTCCTTGCGTATGAAATAATTGGTATTTATTAAGCAAACAATAAATATTAGCTATTATTACTATGCTCATTATCACTAAAATTCAACAATAAATTGGAACAATGGTGTTTTTGAAGCTAAAGATGAGTTATTATTAATTAATTCAGTATACTTCTGTTTTAGATCATATTATGTGCTAGACATTGTTCTGGGTGTTTTGGGAGAAGCACAGACAGATAAGATGCAGCCCCTTCCTTTGAGGATTCTACTAATTCATAATCAATAAGGGCTTGTGTTTGAGTAAATTTTACCAGCAAATGATATTAAGCTTCAATTCAACAGATATTTGTCACACACTCACTTTTATTAGTTGCCACAGAGGACACAAATATGAAAACAGTTCATAAATGTTTAACAAGAATTAATATAAGATTCTTCCTAGAGATGGAGATAGAAAGAGAGAGGTGGAGAGACAGAGAGATGGAGAGAGAACAGCTTTTGGTCTAGATTACCATGTTTTGTGGAGAACGTGTTGTTTGCTTTAGCTGAAGAACACTTTTACATGAGTCTCTGCTGATTGTCCATTCCCATAATGTTATGTGAAAAGCCGTGAGAAAGGACAGACCTGTGATCCTACCTTCACATGTTGGTGAGGAACCTGTCCAGTGTCCAGATGAAGTACAATCCAACCTTTCTGGTCCAGATAAAGAAAACCCCTCATCACAGCTGAATTGGCATGTGGATTTATAGCTGGAATCCCCAAGAGGTTGGATACAGGTCATTGTTCCATTCTGAGGGCTTAGCAGAGGTGTGCAGGTAATAGCTACCGTGGAGCATAACAGAGGAGGAGAGAAGAAACCATTTTAGAATTCAGCAGCCTGACATCAGTGGGGTGTGTGTGTGTGTATTGTACCTCCTTAACACTCAAGGTCATCATTTGGCTAGAAATGAGTGTTGGTATTTCATGGTGTGCCTTATCACCAATTAGAGGTCATGAACGTGTAAAACAGCAGCTTATAGTCAATTGACATCCTGAAACACTCACCCACAAAGAGCTTTAAGGGTGATTTTTAAAAGGAGGGAGTGGTCTGTTTGGAAAGATATTCTGTGCAGCTCACTCCGGTTGCCTCTGGGCAGAAGCGGAAGTGGCTGCTTCCTTGCTACCTTCTTTACAAACAGACCTACTGACCTTACCAGAAAATGACAAGTGATTGGAAAAGAGAATATAAAGATAAAATACTTTTTTGCCTTCCCAAAACTCCTTTCCCCAACCAGGTGGTAGACAGAACCCAGGTCCAAATCTTGCCTCTGTTACTTATTAGCCATGTATCTCTAGACAATAACCTTTCTGAACCTCAGTTACTTTATCTGTAAAATGGAAAAATACTAATCCTTGCTTTGCAGGGATCCTTAGCTATATAATAATAAGTTAATTAAATCATACATAAAATGAAATTTAAAAATATAGTAAAAAGTCATGGACACGAAGTAGGCACATAATGTAGTAGCCTGTCTGCAAATGCTAATTTCCACTTCTTCCCACAGTCTCATGCTACAGTGACTACAGTTCAGCAGCAAGTGGCTGAACTTGCTCACTTATGTGAAAACTTGAACTAGGTCTTGCAGTTCTCTGCCACACTTCATACAAGCAGAGTCTGTGGCACTAAGGAGCCTGCTTTCCTTCATTGTGGCTGTGCTAATAGAGGTTAGGTCATGGAAAGGCCTATGCTTGTCATTTAACAGCTCTGTGACTTTTGGCAAGCCACTTAACCTCTCTGAGTCTCAATTTGTTCACCAGTAAAATGGGAAGAATAGCATTACATAGCGCCTAGGATTTTTACAAAGATCCAAAGTGAAAATACACAGCATGCAACTGTTAACAGCTGTCAAGATGTCCTTTTGCAAATTAATAAGATAATAAATCTTGAATTAAGTCTGTTGGCATCAAAAAGTGAAGACTAAGCAAACACATGGGTTGGGTGTTCCTTCTTCACTGTTTGACCTGGTTGAGCAGCATATGGCTTCAGACCAAAGACAGTTGGTGGTCTTCAGTCTTTAGAGCATTTTCTATGTCTTTCCCTTCCCTTCATTCCTCTCCCTGTCCAGCTACACTCCCCCCAAATGGATCAATTTTTCAAAGACTTAGTTATTTTCTGCCACTTGTTTTCCGTCTTTCTGTATTAAGTGTGTACAGGGCAGGGGGCTGAGGAGGGGGAGAGGAGACAACTCAGGAAGGCTATAAACTGTAAGGGCAAATGGGGGGAAAGGAGTGTGTGCGAGAATCTTAGTGGCATTCAGTCCATTCTCAACTCTTTCTCTAACAGCAGGGGTGGGGTGGCTATGTGGAGGAGGGGCAATTAAAAAGGGAAATTGTCAGCTAGCACACTCTCAGAAGTATTACAACAGCTAGTGGATTGCAAGCCTCATTGTACCTTCCTGTTCAGCCCACATTGGCTATTTCACTTGATAGGCACTCAGCAAGGAGAGGATGAGGAGAAAGTTCAGTCAGAGTAAACAAAGAACTAAAAGCAGAAGGGAACTGGAAGGTCACAGGAAGCTGTGGTGAGTGGCAGCCTCCCTTGCTGTGAAACGCCCATAGGCAGGCTGATATGCGGCAATGAACTGTAATCTGTGCCCTGCACAGCTCAGGGCAGCCCAGAAGAGCTCTGAGCACTGTGTTAACCCACAGCAAAGACCCTAAGTCCTTCCCCAAAGCTGCATGGACTTTGGCATCCAGGCTTCAATATGGCCAGGATGAGAGCTGAGGGGCAGGTCACAGCCCACCCCGTTCTCTCTAGACCCCCGCTCTGGAGGTGCCAAATCTATCCATAGCTGTTGAGTCCATTCCAACTCATCATGACCCTGTAGAACAGGGTAGAATTGCCTCCTGTCCCAAGGCTGACAGACTGCTACATCTTTCTCCTGTAGAGAGGCTGGTGGGTTTGAACCGCCAACCTTTTGGTTAGCAGCTGAGCACTTAACCACTGTGCCACCAGGCTCTGAGGGTACACCCAACCTCAACCCTGGTAACTTGTCATACTCTGGCGCCTGGGAATGAAGGACACCTAGTTTTGCTGAGTTTGATTATTCATTCGTTCATTCATTCATTCACGGCCCAATTTAGCAGTGGTATGTGTGTGTGACCTGAATAACAGGTGGTTTCCTGTTCATAAAAACCATGTCTGCTTGCTTTTGCCAGATGTTGATAGTCTATACAAAGTGAATAGGCAAAGGCAAACAATACAGAAGTATCTAGTATTTTACATATTTAACTTTTTACTAAAATTGTATATGCTTCATAAAAATATTAATTGTGTATGTTTCAGAAAAATATTAATTGCATAGGGAAAAAGTGGATGGGGAAAATATTTGGAAGAATTCACACCAGAATGTTAACAGTGTCTGTTTTAGGGTGGAGGTATTTAAGAGGATATAATTTTATTTATTTTCTTATTTTTCTGTAGCCTTTGTAAATAAAAACCTTGCTTTTTAAAAGTACTATTTGCCATAAATATAACTAAATAACTGAATATAATGAGCAGAAAAAAGAATGAGGAATATAGAAAACATACATCTATCCTTTAATACCCAAATACAGATGATGAGAATCAATTTTATTTCAGAGGGGTGTTATAATATTAACAGAATACACTGGCTTTTAGATATCAAGTACAGTGTATATACAAATGCTTATACTGAAACTGAAAGTATCTTTTTTCTGAGAGTACTATAACTTCAAGTTTCTTCCTCTTTTCATCACTCTCACTTTATCCTCAGTAAGTGTATTTCTCCAATATCATACAAATTTTGGAGGATGTTTGCAACTGGGTACCTGTAAGTTCTGCCCCTCATTCCACCATTACGTTCTATGGGTCTGCCTCCCATTCCACCATTACACTCCATGGGTCCGCCTCCATTCCGCCATTGCATTCCATGGGTCTGCCCCTGTTTCACCATTATATCCCATGTGTCTGCCCGTCATTCCACCATTATACTCCATGGGTCTGCCCCCCATTCCACCATTATACTCCATGGGTCTGCCCCCCATTCCACCGTTATACTCCATGGGTCTGCCCCCCATTCCACTGTTATACTCCATGGGTCTGCCCCTCATTCCACTGTTAAACTCCATGAGTCTGCCCCCATTCCACCATTATACTCCACGACTTCTAGGAGTCATGTCAGCCTTGGGACAGCCATCCTGCACCTACTTTTTTCCTCCTAGATTTCTTTTCCGATACTATTTTTAGCCATATATGAACTGTTTACCTGGCTTCTGAAAAGAGCCTTTAGGTTCTGGCAAAGACCCTGGTAAGGAGTTAGCAGGCACCACTCCCTATTGTTTGCTGCTAAACATCCTGACACTTGTACTATCTGCTTGGCCCTGAAGGCGTTTGTATTTGGGGTCCCTGGGTTACAGGGTGAGAGAATGAGTGCGAGTATTTATTAATTTTCCAGACCTTTCCAAGGTGCTAGCCCTGAACAGTTACCACTTCTAAAATACAGCCTACAGTTTATTTCCAAGTTGCTGGAAAGAAGGTAACCTTACCTTTGCATTCTGGAGGCACAGCACTCCAGTTCCCAGTAACCAAGCATTGCAGCACATTTGCACCCACCAGGACCAAGCCTTCGTCACAGGTGAAGCTGCAGGCTGACTGGTACCTGAAGGCACCAAAAGGGTGGGAGCAGTTCACCTGGGCCTTGTTGGGAGTCAGAAGATCTTGGCACTGCAAAGCTAAGGGGTGAGGAAATAAGGGAATGGGGAAACAGTCGCACAAGTACGCATTGATTTCGACCCCTACTCTTTTCTAGTGCCAAGAACAGAGATTCTCAAATTGGGATTGTTTAGCCTGGAGTAGGATAAAAGTGTCATTTAATTACAATAGCATATGAAAGATTTTATTCGGAAAATGCTGAATTACTGTTGAGCATCTGGGCAGTATATATCAATAATTTTTAGAACATCATACTTTTGAACCTGAGTTTTATTTCTAAGAATCTATGCTACTAAGTACATATGCACACAAAAATTAGTTCAAAGATTTTATTAAGACATTATTTGTAAGAGAAAAATATGCTATTATCATTATTATTATTAATAGTAGTAGTAATAATAACAGCAGTAATATCATTAAAACTATGCATCGGATGCAGACTCTGACTGTCAGAGTGGAAAACACCAGGAAGGCCTATCAAGGGAGGTATTGAGACCACATCTCCAGATGCTAAAGGAGGCATCCAACTATTGTTCTGGATAATTCTGTCTGGAGACAAGAATGGCTTGGATGATCCCTTATGATCCCTGTTAAGCGTTTCAAAGGGCTCTTTGTGTCTTTGTCTCCCAGATGATACACTTGTAATACATTGCCCTCACTAAGTCTCACAGTCCTGAGGCATGGTCATCTAGTACTTCACTGCCTCATCTAAGCTTACATCAGAGTAAACTTAGGCACAGGGGAATCACATAAGTTACCCAGGAGTCCCAGTAAATGGCAACATGAAATGCTGCTATTATAATTCCGGAACATCATTTCTGTGTGGGTACCCCTTGTAAACAAATACTCCTAGTGACCTACCTATGCCTTACTTATCCTGTGAGAGTAAAATATTGAAAATATGAAATATTGAAAGATGATCATTTTATAAAAACAGACAAGGATGTATGATTTATAAGATAATGTTATTATTGTCATTTTACCTACATTTATAAAGCACATAGCAGTTTTGAAGTTGCTTTTACACACATTAATTCACAGCTACTAGTGAGGCAAGTAGGTAAGGCAGGTAATTGTTGTTGTTGTTACAAAAGCCCATTGCCATCCAGCTGATTCAACTCAGGCGACCCTATATGGCAAAGTAGAACTGCCCCTTAGGGTTTCCAAGGCTGTAACCTTTATGGAAGCAGACTACCACATCTTTCTCCCACAGAGCAGCTGGTGGGTTCGAACAGCTGACCTTTCGGTTAACAGCTGAGCACTTAACCACTGTACCACCAGGGCTCCTTTGTTGTTGTTAGCTGCCATCAAGTTGGCTCCCAACACTTGATGACCCCATGTACATTGTGATCGGACTGTTGTGACCCTTAGGGTTTTCATTGGCTAGATTTCAGAAATAGATTGCCAGGCCTTTCTTCCTAGTCCATCTTAGTCTAGAAACTCCACTAAAGCCTGTTCAGAATCAGCAACACACAAGCCTGCACTGACAGACGGGTGGTGGTTGTGCATGAGGTGCATCGGCGGAGAATCAAGCCTGAGTCTCCCACACGGGAGGTGAGAGTTCTACCACCGAACCACCACTGCCCTCAAGGCAAATAATCGTACCCCCATTTTACAGAAGAAGACCCTGAGCCTCAGAGAGATTGACAGCTTGTTAACAGGAAGTGACAGAGCCAGCACTCAGTGCCTCTTCCACTACTATTCCTCCCTCCTGCGCTCTTCTTCATGTACCACTCTTTTCCCCCCACCTCCTTCATGCCAACCCATCTCATACATGTCAATCAATGCAACCCTCACCTTGAGTAAGCTGTAATGACCATGCTGGGCCTAAGAATGGTTTTGCTTGCTATTTCATCCCCAGCACATAGTGGATTCTCAAGGAGTGTCTGATGGGTGCTAAATGAAGAGGCCGGTACTTTCTGCCAGGCTGCAAGGGATAGAAGCAATATCCCAATGTCACTGTACCTTGACAGACTGGGGCTGGTGCTGTCCACTGTCCCAAGTCAGAACACTGAGCCATCTTGGCTCCTCTCAGCAGGAAACCCTCGGCACAACGGAAGCTACAGCTTGTGTTGTACTGAAATCCTTGCGAGGATGGGGAGCAATCCATGCTTCCGTGGACAGGACTCTCCATTGGGTCACATGCAATGGCTAAATGGAGAAGTTATTATCTGAAACCAGGTAAAGGAAGGGCCCAGTTCTTCCTCATGAGAGGCCCCCAGGGAGATGCCACATATTTTCTCTCCACATTGTTGGTATGTTCAGAACCTTAAACCCTCCTTTTTTCAAAAACTCTACCCAGAACACCCTCCCATGCCATGCTTCAGGTCTCAGTCTAGGCTTCACTTTCTTAGGAAGCTTGCCCTGCCCACTCTATACTCCACTGTATTCTTCTCCAGTAGACCACAGTCTCCTTGAGGGCTGGGATAGGTCATAACTATATCCCAGAGCATGACCCAGTGTTTGGAACATCAAAAGTGCTCATGAAATATTTATAGACATTATTTGTGGGATTCGATCTGGAAAGAGTAGATACTGGAAAAGGCTGGACTTATGGGACCATGTGGCCTATTGTTGGCACCCTATTACCTAGCTCTATAAGTTATCCCTAATGAGCCTCGTGTCTGGAACACAGGATGTCATCCTAATCAGACTTCAATTGCCAAGTGAGTGCAGCCCAATGTGAGTTCCTGAGCACAATTAAACCCAAGTGACTTCAGTTCGCATAAGGACTGGTTTCCTCTTGCTCTTCCTTGAATGAAACATTCCATTTCCAGGCTGTTCCTGGGGTTGTGCAGAGTATAGAGACCACCCTTTCTTCTACACCCCTGTGTGTACCCTGGGCTTGACCTCTGGTTTTTACAGAATCAGGGCATTTTAGAGCCAAAGATTCTCTAGTGCTTCTCTCACTTTACAGATGAGAAAAGTCAGATTCAGAAACGTTAAGTGACTTCCCTAAAGTCTCAGAGCCAGACAGGATGTCCTCGGAATTCACTAATCTAACTTTTAATTTCTTACTCCTCCATTCCCCTCTCTGTTTTACAAACTGAGAGTGTGAGACAATTGCACAGAATTCAGATTCACGATATTATGTAATTGCCTAGGGTTGCATCATAGGCTCTTTTTCAATTCAGTGTTCCTTTGCTCCTTTGTCAATGGCTACTTTCGTAGGCTATGCTGGGGAATCTCACTTTGCCCTAATAGCACTGCTTTGACTTCCTCTTGGGTATCGGTCATTGTCCCATAGCTTTTACATGCCATTGGGGCAGGAAGGGAAAAAAAGAGGCATAAAATAAAGTTTATTGGATGCCAGCTCTATGCTAGGTACTTTACCATTATACCCATTGCTATCGAGTTGATTCTATCAGAGTAGAACTGCCCCATAGGGCTTCCAAGGAGCAGCTGGTAGATTCAAACTGCCAACCTTTTGCTTAGCAGCTGAGCTTTTAACCACTGGGCCACCAATGGCTCCATGGTACTTTATACACACTATTTAATTGCATGCATTTTATATACTTAATCCTCACAAAAGAACCTTGCAATTCTTAACTCCATCTCACAGAGTAGAAAACCATGCCTCCTGGAGGTTGAACATCTTGCTCCAGTGCCAGAGCATGGAGGAAGTCACCTTGACATTAAGTGCCCTTGGTCTTTCCACTGTGCCCTGTCTACTTCCTAGGTGGGTTGGGGGCTGATAAAGGGAAATCCTACCCTCACAGGCTGGCATGGGTGCAGTCCACTGGCCAGGGCCAATGCAGCGGAGGGTGTCCGAGCCCCTCACCCGATAGCCAGGTTGACACTCAAATTTACAGCTGGAGCCATATGCAAAGGCGGCGAGTGGATGAGCACAGTCCATAGTTCCTTTGCTGGGGGCTTCCAAGAGCCGACACTGCACAGCTAGGGAGAACAACGAAGGACAAAGAGAAAGTTACTGAGGAAGGAGAAAAGCCATGGCCACGGCTGGAGAACAAGGTGGCACTTGGAACCTCGAAGGCTCTAATGACATTTGTCCAGACTTGGAGCACTAGTCTGTCCTCAAAGTGGCCCAAATCTCTTAAATACACAGACTCTTCCAAGCTTTATTCTTAATGTCCTCTACCCCTTACATCTCTATAAACCTGTCCCCACAGGTATTCTAGTGTCTCCTTACAGATGTTAAATGTCGCCTTTTTTCTCTCTTATGTGGTATGGGTCATGTAAAGTCATTATGAATTAAGTTATTCCAAACTGCTTGTGGGCTGTGAGTTTTGGGGCAAGGAGGGCTTTATTATTTTGTATGTAGTAAAATCAACCTCTTTTTTTTCTGGAACCTGACAGTCATTTTCTATCCCCAGATGTACCCAACCTAGCTGAGTGGCAGGTACAAGAAGAGCCAAATTTTGGTAACTCAGGCCAGCTTCTCCATAAGCTGAGCAGTTTCATCTGTACACTCAGCAAGGACTGGGTGCAGTGGACATTATACTTCCCCAAGTGTCTGGAGCTCACCTTTACACACTGGGGCTGGGGCTGTCCACACCCCAGAGGCAGTGCACCGCACCTCTTCTGGCCCAACTAACGCGAATCCCTCTTCACAACGGAAGCTACAGCTGGACTGGTGCTGGAGTTCCTTCTCAGGGGGAAGGCAGGCCATGCTTCCTTGTTCAGGTATCTCCAGGGGTGGGCACTGGGTGGCTGAAAGAGCAATGTCCTGACTCCTTGAGTTGTGGCCAGCACCTTGAAGCCCTGGGATTCCACAGCAGCTAGATTTTCCCAAAGTGACAGGCGATGGACTTGGTTGGGTGGAAAGGTCCAAACATGCTTATTTTTCACTTACTTTTTTAAAAAGCAGGTGAAAATATAAAATTAATAATACTTAGTGCCTAACTCCTCATTATCTTACTCTGTTTACTTTGCAGCTAACAAAGCAAAAAGGATGCCTTTCTAATGGTTTTGTCTGGGAAGCAAGAATTAAACTGATTACCTCACTTTTCAGATACAAAATACCATGAAAATTGAAATTAGTGTTACTCTTGATGAACCTTGAAAGCGTTATGCTGAGTGAAATAAGTCAATCACAAAAAGACAAATACAGTATGATTTCACTAATATGAAACACTTAAAACAGGCAAATGTATAGGTATCAGCGTTTGATAGTAGTTACCAGGGGCAAAAGGGAAGAGGAACAAGGGAAATCTTTTTCTAGCTAGCACTGAGTTCTGTTTATGGGGATGGAAAATATGGCAATGGATATTGGTGGTGGTTGCACACGATTAACGTCATTGGTTTCACTGAATTGTTACAAGTGACAAATGCTGAATTGGCAAATGTGTTATCTGTATTTTTTACAACAATAATAAAAGAAAACATTAGTGTTCTCTGATTGACAGGTAATTGGAAGAAGCAGAATTTTCCATCTAATGTGCACCCTCATCATTTCTCACATTTTTAATGGAGAAAGCTCAATTACTTCTCCTTGAAATTCTGGCTGTCCATGAGGATACAAAGAATAGGGACTACACACCTACACACTGTGGGGGTTTACTCGTCCAGTTTCCAGAAGCCAAACATTCCAGCTTGCTGGGTCCCTTCAACGTGTACCCTTTGGGGCAGTGGAAGCTGCACTGTGAGTTGAAAGAGAAGTTTCCCAGAGGGTGGCTGCAGTTCATCAGCAAGTGTTGAGGTAGGTCCACTTCTCCACACTCTCTGACTGCAGGGGATAAAACAGTGATTTTTTTTCCCACTGTAGACTTAAAGACAAGGTCAAATTTGCTGAAAGCTGACTCTATCTGTGTTACCCTCTTAGCCGCATCTTTCTAGGCTCTAGCCCAATCAGCCCATCTTTACTTGAACCCTTCGTATTGGCTGCATTTTGGGAAATAATCATTCTTTCACTGGCCTTTTGTTCAAACAAGTAAAATCAGCCCGAAAGGGTTCTCTTTGGTTTGCTTCCTTTATGTTTTCCTTTTCCTTTTTGAGATTTTTATGAGCAAATGTTCATCTCCAATGATAAAATGTTTTACCCAGGGTGCATATCTAGAGAAAATTTAAGTGGGGCAAACAGATTATTGAGGGCGCCTGGGACTAGCCTTCATCCACCAGGCAGTCTCTGCATCATTTACTTCTTGGCATCTCTTTAGCACAAGACCAAAGACCAAAATAACAGTAAAACCATGCTCTCACCATGTTCACATTCTGGTCCATAGAACCCAGGGTAGCAGGAACAGGTGTAGTTCCCAATTGTCTCGATGCACTCTCCTTGCTTGCTGCAGGACATGTCTTGGCAGGAGGCTGAATGGATGTGGGAGGGTCAGAATCATGGGCATTTGTATGAGATATTGTTCCAAGCCACAGACTCAGACCGGCTTGGGTAGGACTGAGTTAGCCAGACAACAGAGAACCACAACATCCTTGGAGAGCCAACCGGTCTCTGGGAAAGCCATTGTGGGAGACTGTTGGGGGCATTGCATGGCTCCCATTTTTGTGCTGCATTTACTGTATCCTGAGGAGGGAGTCACTCTGTGTATGGAGCCATCAGTAGATGTGTGGACAGAGAAACTCTTCTATGTGGTACAAAATAGGTTCTGACTTTTTAATCAAGAGTCTTCATAGAGTTGGATTATTACAGAAGCCCCTGTGACGGTTGTTACAGCATGGAAGTTAAAAGCCAGACATGGGGTCACACAGACATGATCTGAATCCTGGATCTGCTGCCTACCAGCTCTGTGACCTTAGGCAAGTTACTTCTCTGAGCCCAACTGGCCCAATTTTAGGGCAAAAACCCTTCTACACTTTGTTTCAAATCTATGTCCAATACCATATGGTGGAGGAGCACAGAAAGCAAATGAGATGTTTAAGAACTATTCATGGTAAAAGAAAAAAAAACAATAATATTACAAGGGATGTTTCAGTGATATAAATATGACAGGCTTAGATGGTGTAGACCATGGCTAACCTGTCAGGCCTTTCTCACTGAGTCTGTGCCACTTGGGTGACAAAATAGAGAAGGTCTGAAGTTTCTTTTCTGCCAGATACCCTTTGAGGGTATATGCTCTTGGTGGGGGATTAGTATTTGAATTGATACTGTGAAAGATATTTTTATTAAGAAGGTCCTAGACAGGCACAAGGTCTATGGCTAGACTATTTTCTGATGGTCTGTTTCTTTTGCACTAAGCCTTAGTCACATGTTGGTCCACTCTGGGGTAATTACAAGACAAAATCCATATGTCACATAGAGAGTTGTACTAATGATCTCTAAGTTTTCTCTAAACTCTGAGATACTATACTTCTATAAGCCATGCAAGGATCTGCAGGAGGAATGTTCCAGTGAATGAGCCAGTAAGTTTGGTGAAGTGGCTTGAGACTCTTGGAAGATTCTAAGAGAAGATACAGGAAGCAGCAGTAGCTAGAATATAGAGGTTTGGTCCACATCTCCCATTCTATTTCCTTGCCCCCTGCTCTTGACCCTACTCTCTCTTATACTAGGGCATAAAACCAAAAACCAAACCTATTGCCCTCAAGTTGATTCTGACTCATAAGTGACCCTATAGGACAGAGTAGAACTGCCCCATAGGGTTTCCAAGGGGCGACTAGTGGATTCAAACGGCCAACCTTTTTGGCTAGCAGCCAACCTTTTGCTCTTAACCATAGCTCTTAACCACTGTGCCACCAGGGCTCCAAAATTAGGGCATAGTGGTGGAAAAAAGATGTGGACTTAAAATTTAGGAGACTGATTACTAGTCCTAACTTTGCTTCTGTCCTGCTACAGGACCTAGAGAAACAAAAACTCCCTGAGCTTCCATTTCATCAGGTATAAAATAGAAAGGGTGGGCTGGATGGTTTAAAATTTCCTTTTTTAGTTTCAGAAGCTCACTTTGCTCTATTCCTGATCTGATATTCTTCAAGGTGCTCAATAAATTCTGACTAACAGTTTACCTGATGGTGCAATGATTAAAGCATTTGTCTGCTAACTGAAAGGTCAGTGGTTCAAATCCACTAGCTGCTCCACGGAAGAAAGATGTGACAGTCTTCTTCCGTAAAGATTACAGCCTTGGAAACCATATGGGGCAGTTCTACTCTGTCCTACAGGGTCGCTGTGAGTTGGAATCGACTTGAGGGCAATGGGTAACAGTTTACCCCCTATTTTCATCTCCCTGACTTGTAACTCCATTTAATTGACTCAAAGGTTACTTTAACCAACCAGTGAAGCCATTAAAAAAAAAAAGAGAGAGACAAATTTCAGGAGTAGAGACGACTTTGGAGTCCCTGGGTGGGGAAATGGTTAATGGCTCAGCTGCTAACTGAAAGCTTGGAGGTTTGAGTCTACCCAGAAGTGCCTCAGGAGAAAGGCTTGGTGATCTACATCCAAAACATCAGCTACTGAAAGCCCTGTGTGCTCCTTAGGACCACACACAGGAGTGACCACACACAGGAGGTCGCTATGAGTCGGAGTTGACTCCACAGCAACTGGTTTTTAAGACAAGACCTTACCGGTATAGCACAGTGCCCGCTTTTTCTTCCAGCAGGGCTCATCATTCCACTTGCCGGGGGCTGATGAGCTCTTGATGTAGATTTCCACGCAGTCCTGGTTGTTCCGCTTGTTGTTGGGCTCATTGTCAGCCCAGTTCTCGGCATCCTCAGTGAGAGTCTTTTTGGTCCCCACCCAAGTCCAAACTTTATTGATCTTTCGGATACCAATCCAGTAGTAAGAGTTGTAGTAGGGTATGACATCATTGAGGTAAGCGATTTCATTTTTATTCTGGATGGCCACTAAATCTGTGTAGTACTTCTGGCAGAAGGCCCGGGAAACATTCCATGGGTATGCTGTTGTGCTGTGATGATACGTCCACGCTGCCACTTCTCTCTGGTCCATTAGTTCTGTAGCGAGGAAAAGTGGGAGCCACATTAGCACCCCTAACCAGGGGGTGGGCTGTGACTGCAAGGACGCTTCTGGGTAGTCAGAGGAGTTTCTGGCTAGAAGACAAGTACTCAAAACATGACTGCTGTATGTCTAATCTAGCTTTAAGGAAAAGAGTGGATTTCCGTATTTCACTCAGCTGTACATGAAGTCAGAATAGGAAAGATCCTCTTCTGAGGATGTTTGCTATTACAGATTTGGAATCATATGTTACCAGAGTTGGAAGGAATCTCAGAGGTCATCAAAGCTAATCCCCTCCTTTTATAAATGCCCCAAATCAAACCAAACCAGTTGTCAAGTTGACTTTAACTCAATGAAACCAAAACCAGCCAATTGCAGTTGAGTTAATTCCAATTTATGGCAGCCCCATGTGTGTCAGGGTAGAACTTTACTCCATAGGGTTTTCAATGGCTGTGATCTTCGGAAGTCACCAGATCTTTCTTCTGAGGCACTTCTGGGTGGATTCGAACTACCCACCTTTCAGCTAGTAGCTGAGCACTTAACCATTTGTAACACCCAGGTACTCCTAACTCAAAGGAGGCATATTAAGTGATTTGTCCAAACCCAAGTTAAATGGGACATAAAATGTCTTGATGGCTGCCTCCTAGCTACAGGCTCTACCTTTAGCATGGAAAATAAGATGCTTTATGACCTGGAACCCACCTCCTGGCCCAGTCTCACTGTCTGTCACATTTAGTTTCTTAGCAAAGCAGAGCACCCGCTTCCAAGCCTTTGCACATGCTGCTCCTGCTATCCTGGCTGCCCTCCCCACTTTGTGCCTGATGAACTTTACCCTCCTGCTCTCCATGATGCTCCAGGCTGACATGAAGTTTCTTCCTGCAGACTCCTACCACATGTTGTACCTGCCTCCAGGACCACTGTGACCACATATGGGATGTCTGTTTATGTGACATTGTCCACACCTGCTGGATGTGCACCCCTGAAGGGTGGTTCAGCATAGAGCTCGGCATAGAGCTTGGTGCTTAGTAATAGGTGTTCAATAAATATTTGTTGAATGAGTAAAACACAGCTAGTCTGTGGCAAAGCCAGGGCTAGAAAGAAGATCCCCTGATGTACAATCTTATACTCATTCCTCTCCTCCTGGCTGTTTTCTGTTTGATAAATTACTTCCTCCATGTCTGCTTAACTAAAACCAAACCCACTATTGTTGAGTTGACTCCGACTTACAGAGACTCTACAGGACAGAGTAGAACTGCCCCCGTGGGGTCTTCAGGGCTGCCATCTTTACAGAAGCAGATTGCCACATCTTTCTTCCGCGGAGAGGCTCCTCCTGGGTTTGAACTGCCTATTTGGTTAGCTGTTGAGCACTTTAACCACTGTGTCACCAGGGCCTCTTCATGTCTGCTTACTCACTGGTTAAAACAAGGCTCAAAACAGCCCTTCTTTACACGTGTTTGTGATATCAAACAAATAAAGAATGTGCCCTTCAAAAGTATAAAGAGCACCAGGATGCAAAGGTTTGTTATTGTAGCCAGTGGGAGCTCACCGGGGCGGAGAGGCCAGTTCCTTTGTGAAGAGGTGTACAATACAAGCAATCAGACCTGGAAATGGCTCCTTTTCCTGTTTATAAAGCGTTGTTCTTATTCAGCCCACTCCTCTGCTGCTGGTGTGAGTGTTGGCCATGTTTGCCCCTCCCCACTGGCCCCCCTATAACGTTGTTTTGCCTTAAGACTTTATGCCACTAATCCTGGTACGTCCAGGGCTACCACGTTATGACTTCAGTGAACACTAGGCACTTTTGCTTTTGTGGGCTCCATCCCCCATAAAATATATTAAAAACTGTATTTTTCAACTGCATTGGTATAAAGATGACTTTATTAATATTATAAGGAGCGCTAGTGGCTCAACAGTTAAGCACTTGGCTGCTACCCGAAAGATTGGTGACGCGAACCTACCCAGCAGCTCTGTGGGAGAAAGACCTGGCAATCTACTCCCATAAAGATTTCAACTTAGAAAACCCTATGGGGGCAGTTCTACTCTATCATCTGGGGTCGCCATGAATCGAAATCAACTCAACGGCACCTAACAACAACAACAACATATTACTATTAAATATTAAAACACTTTCTTTGCCCTAAAAGAAACTTTTTTTTCTTTTTTTTTTTGTGGGTCCCTATAACTATCATGGGTCTGTGCCTACTGTGCCTAATGGATAAATTGGTCCTGAATATATCAGTTTAAGCTCTTCCTGAAGGCTTTTCGTGAATATGATGGTGTTGGGTGCATTTTTCCTTTTAGATATATTGGCTCTGACAGTTTTCTCCCACCTGAACACCTTGCTATCCTTAACTTCTCTCACTTGGCTCTGGGCTCTACCCTAATCCCTCAGGGCTAGGTGAAGGCTTAACCTGAAGTTTACCACAGATCAGAGTGCTGAAGCAAAGGAGGTGAGCAGCTCGGAAAACCAGTGTCTGAAATCTCCGGTTCCAGTCGGCCTTTAGGCAGCTAGCCTGAAACAAGAACAGAAAACTTGCTTTTGGTATCTATGCATGATCAACATGGCCAAAAAAATTCTTGTTAATGATCATTTTGTTGTTATTAGTTGCTGTCAAATTGGTTCTGACTCCTGGTGACCTGACAAACAACAGAATGAAATGTTACCTGGTCCTTCACCATCTTGGTGACTGTTGGTATGCTCAAGCCCCTTGTTGCAGCCACTGTATATTTTGAGAGGCTTTCAGTCAAGGAGGCTCATCTTCCAGCACTGTGTCAGACAATCTTCTGTTGTGATCCATAGGGTTTTTATTGGCTAATTTTTGGAAGGAGATCACCACGCCTTTCTTCCTAAACTGCCTTAATCTGGAAGCTCTGCTGAAACCTGTTCACCATGGGTGACCCTGCTGGTATTTGAAATACTGGTGGCATAGCTTCCAGCATTGCAGCAACATGCAAGCCACCACAGTATGACAAACTGACAGACGGGTGGTGGAACCCCTTCTGTATAGAAATTCTCAATTCCCACGGACCCTGCTCCAGTGATAAATGATGCAGAGGTAGGATGTGGGGTATATAGAGTGGTATGGGCTAGTGTGCATGTGTGCGTGTGTGTGTGTGTGTGTGTGCTCATGCACCACTGACTACAACCTGACCAGATAGTGTAGAGGACACAACTAAATGCAGTGCAACCCTCACAGATAGTGGGGTTACCTTTGTATTAAAAGTTTGGCACATTTCTGTCTAGGGGTTTCTGAGTATTGGCTTTGATAAGTAGACATATTTTGTGTTCTTTTTTTAAATTTTTTTATTGTACTTTAGGTTTTATTTTTTTTCCTCTTTTTTTTTTATTGTACTTCAGGTGAAGGCTTACAGAAC